TTTAACTGGGGAAAATATTTATGGCAAATTTCTCTGATAAAGGCCTGATATCCAACATGTATAGTGAACTGATACAAATATTTGACAAAATAGCCATTCCTCAATAGATAAATGACCAAATGATAAGAATAAACAGCTCTCAAAGGAAAACAAGCAAGCTATCAATAGCATTTTTTCTCTAAACCATTAATACTAAAAGAGACACAAATTAAAATAACTCTGATTCCCAGCCCCACCTCCACCAGTCATTAGTTGTGTGACCTTGGGCACATCTTTTGGCCTTGGTAAGATTTCACCTTTGAGTAAGCTGACGTCTTAAAACCCTACCCAGCTCTAAGATCCTTTAACTCTGCAATCTGGAGGGCTGAGGGGACTTCCTTTCAAATCACTGACAAGATGATAGGAATCTGGAAGTGGTGATAGCGTCATTCTGAAAAGGGGGCTCTCGCGGCTCATGCTGTTGACTCTCATCTTTGGGAATTTCTGGAGTCCAAACAAAAGGAGATTGTTCCTGCTGAGGGTTAAGGTCATTAGACAAGATATTTCCTCAATAAAGTAATAAGGCATTTCTTTGTTGTTCCAGATACCTGTAGGTAGGTTGGTGCCTATTTGGGTGTGGAGACATGCCAGTCAGAAATTTAAAAGGAATTTTCTGGAAATGGTAAGAGCTGATGTGTCTGCCAACTTGGCAAGTGAAACAGGAAAATTCTTATCATCTTAAAGAGGTCATGATGATTGTGTTGATCCCAGGAAGTGCCAACCTGAGTCAATATGAGCCAGGGCACCAAAGCAAAATCTTGGTTTGGCTTTGTGTATTTTCAGGTCAGGTTTGAAAAAGAAACAGAAGTATCCGCAGAACCTTAAGCAGACACATGGATGAGTTTGTACAGGCAATATCTTTTCCGGACAAGATCAGAAAGTGGCTGAAACTTCTCAGCTTCTTGGATCTTTCCTATCTGAGTTTTCTTCCTATACCAATGGCCCATTGGCACTGCTCCCCCTGTTTCCCCTCAGGATCCGCCCCCATGTTCGACCTCAGATCTCTTCTCATACTAAAGTCTCAGTGTTAAGACAATTACCTGGAGCTATTTAGCCTCTGGACAGCTAGGTAGCATAGTAGCTGAAGTGCTGGTCCTGGAATCAGGAAGACCTGAGTTCGAATCTGGCCTCAGACATTACTAGCTGTGTGATCCTGGAAAAGTTTCTTAACCCTGTTTGCCTCAATTTCCTCATCTGTAAAATGAGCTAGAGAAGGAAATGGCAAGCTGCTCTAGTATCTCTGCCAAGAAAACTCCAAATGGGGTCACAAAAAGTTAGACACAACTGAAATGACTGAACAACAAATATGACAGACACTGTGCTAAGCACTGGAAATGCAAAAAACCCACAGAATTAGGAACAAGATTCAGACCTCAGTTTCTCTTGACATCAAATTCAATGCTCCTTCCATCTCACCAGGTTCCCTCTACAGCAAAAAAAAAAAAAATTCATTACCCTGGGACAAACCTAGTAATGAGTAATGAATTTAGCTAGCTAGTCTGGTCTTTGGACAATAGACGTATAGTGAATCAATCACTGGGCCAATTCTTAATGAAATTTCAGACTAAAAGAGGGAAGTAACAGAGCCACATTTGTAGGTTAAGTTCTCATGGGACAAGGTTCAAGGTCTTCACTGGGTTATCCATTCCTCAAACCACAGCTCAGCAGCCTTTGTGTTATCTGTTTATTTTTATTCTGGTCAGCCAGAATATGCAATTAAACAATTCATAAATGTCAAGGCAAAGTCTTTTATTGAAATAGCACAGTAAAAACAATAGCAATGCAATATCTCCCCCCATAGACCTGGGACACTTTCCCACAAAGACACTGCCCATGACATTGAGAAAATTAGACACATCTAGAGTTCACAAGTGGAAAGTCACACATATATGGCCAAAGCATGTGGAACGAAGGACAATTCCTACTGAAGCAACAGAGGCCTTGATGACCTTGCACTTCTCCTGAGACTCGACCCAGCTGTATGGTACCAGATGCTACTCTGACAGATGCTTGTTCATTGATTTCAGCTTTGGACATACTCGAACTCCTGGCCTGACCTACTTCTCTGCAGTTTCAGAAAGAACAAGAGGTCTTACCTTAGAACCATTAGGAGTCTCAGCTCTGGGGCCTACCATTTCTCAAGCAGGATCCCAGTTCCAGGTGCCAAACTCATAACATCTTTCTTTGATTTGAATAGACTCCTTGTTATGTGCCTCTACCACAAGACACTACTGACCATGAGGGTGGAGAGGAAAGAGAAAGCCCCTTCTGATGGGAGTGGGGATCTGGTTCACTCTCCAAGAAGTGCAAGGTAAAAGGTAAAGAGCAAACTCTTCAATGGTGGAGTCCTTCCTTCATATTTTGTCAAATGACTCCACAAACCAATTCCTCTGCTCTTCAGTTCTCACCAATGCAATCCATGGGCCCAAGACCAAATCTCTTGTTTCTGCCATCTCTGTCTGAGTATCCCTGCTCTTTTGAATGTAACTGGTCTAATCAAAGTCTGAAAGGGACACACCTTTACAAGGTAAAAATGGGATCAAGTCTGAAAGATAAAACCTTATATTCCATTATCTCTGTACCCTGCCACCTTTCATCCTGTAATTTTACCAGTAGATTCGGGATATTCAGTTGTTCTGAGACCCCTGACAAAACCCCTACTATACCTTCACTGGTTAGGTCTCTACATCTTTTCCAAAAGTGGCATATTGAAGCAATTAACTAGATAGTTAAAGTCAAAATAAATGGATCTCTTACTATTCTTGGCCAAAAAGAAAATAGAAATATAGTAGAGAATGTTTGTTCAATCTAATTAAAAAGTTACATCGTAGACCTAGAGAAACAATTATGGAACCACATTCAGGAATGTTTTATTTTCTTTTTTAAATTAAAAAATTAAAAATTAGAAATTAAATTTCTAATTTCTGTCCCTGGCACCCAATAACCAACAAAGTCACAAATGCTACTTAAATTCATCTTGACTAAAGTTGTCAAATGAAAGGAACTATCACAGTGTGAAAGCCTAAGACAAATGACTTCTAATAAGCTATAATAATCATTCACATCTCTACAACTTTTTCATAGCTTGCAAAATGCTGAACTCATTTTTATTATCTTCCTGTGACAGTTGAGAAATTGAAACTCAGAGAGGTTAAAAGATTTACCCAAGATCCAGTAGCAAGTAGTGCTGAAACCAGGAATTTAATGTTAAATTTCTCTGGCTAGCCCCCATGCCTAAAATGCTCTCCCTTCTCAACTTCGATTACTGACCTCCCTGGCTTACTTTAAGTCTCAGCTAAAATTCTATCTTTTACTGGAAGTCTTCTCCAGCCTCTCTTAATTCTCATGCTTTGCCTCTCCTAATTATTTCCTATTTATCTTGTAGGCAGCTAGGTGGCACAGTAGATAGAGCACCAGACCTGGAATCAGAAAGACTCATCTCCTGAGTTCAAATATGGCCTCAGACATTTAGTAGCTCTGTGACCCTGGGCAAGTCGTTTAATCCTGTTTGCCTCCGTTTCCTTATCTGTAAAATGAAAGAAGGAAATTGCAAACCACTCAAATATCTTTGCCAAGAAAACCCCAAAAGGGGTCATGAAGAGTCAGACATGACTGAAAAATGACAGCACATGTATGTATATTTGTTTCTATACGTATAGAAATACACATTTTGTATATGCATGTGTGTACATGTGTATATATATATACATGCATGTGTATATGTATATATATATATACATGCATGTGTATATGTATATATATATGTATATATATGTATATATATATGTATATATATATATGTATATATATATATGTATATATATATATATATATACTTGCTTTGCATGTGTTTATTTATTTGCATGTCCTATAAGACTATAAGCTTCTTGAGGAAAGGGATTGCCTTTTGCCCCTCTCTGAATCCCCAGCACTTTACACGTGCCTAGCACATAGTAGGCATTTAATAAATGTTAATTGAGGGGCAGCTAGGTGGCACAGTGGATAGAGCTCCAGCCTTGGAGTCAGAAGGACTTGAGTTCAAATCTGGCCTCAGACACATAACATTTACTAGCTGTGTGACCCTAAGCAAGTCACTTAACCCTGATTGCCTCACCAAAAAGGCAAAAAAAAAAGGAATAAATGTTAATTGATTGTTCAATATTCCATAAACATTCATAAAGGACCTAATACATGGGAGGCACTGTGCTAGGTGCTGGAGATACAAAGACAAAAAACAAAACAGTCTTTACCCTCCAGGAATTTACAGTCAATGCAGTGGAAACACGTTCACAGGTAAGTAAAGGCAAAATACATTCAAAGGAAAATAAATTAATTTTGTTGGGGGAAGGCACTAACACCTAGGGAGAGGAGAGGATTAGGAAAGTCCTCATGTAGAAAAAGGACACAAGCTGAACCTTGCAGGAAACCAAGGAATCTCAGAGGCAAGGTGAGAGTGTGCTCTAAGCATGGGGCACAGCCGGGGCAAAGGGATAGAGGTGGCACCAGTCAATTTCAATCTAAAAGTCTAAGTTTGCTCACCTATAGAATGAGGGGGTTGGACTAGAAAACTCAGGTCTGATTCCAAGTTCAGTGCTCTTTCCATAACACCAGGCTGTCTTTTATACAAAAGATTAAATTTGGGGGGATGAGACAGGAATGTACCATTTCAATGCACCTCCCTACAGAGATCAAATCTAACCCACTGTTCAGATTACTTTAACATCTCTCATCTAAATAAACGCTTTTCAGATACTCCAGAGATACCTAAATTACTGAACTTTTACAAAGCTGACCTTTTCTGTTGTTTGTGTGCCTTTCAGGGATTACTGGGAAATGTTGTAGGAAATCATTCTTATCTCTGCTACCTTTTGACCCTGATGAAAATAATCCCATTGTGCATTAATAAACAAAACTTCCTGAAAACCACTAGAGGGATATGTGGGTATGGGTGTGTACAGAACACAATCTCTCTAGGACTTTTTCTACCTTCCAACTGGCAGTCCTCACTACCTTCTCCAGTGGAGCATGGAAAGAGTTAAAAGTCCTTTGATTGAGTCACTTGGGTGAGAACTATTAAATGAAACAAAGAAAACTCCACCAGAGCAGTCCCAGTCAAGATCGGGTTCGTAATCAGATTTTATTCAAAGAAGAAAAGAAAAAAAAAGAGACTGCGGGTGACAACTTTCTTTTTGTATCCAGAAGTTTATAGGACACTCTTCAGTCACCTGCCAAGCCAATACAGGGGTGAATTGCCTTGATTTAATCTCATTTTCCACTCACTCTTGGGGTCAGATTAAGCCCACAGGAAGGTACTGGCTTGGGAAATTCCTACTGACTCAGACTGCAGACAGAGATTGTATTTAATCATCGCTTCATTGCCTGAGCTACATAGCAGAAGTAAGAAGGACCCTGAAGAGTGAGTTCTGGAGATCTGGAGTCAAGTGGAATTTCCCAAGAACATCTGCAACAGCAGCCCAGCTTCCGGTGAGTATTATCTTAGTGTGGCTAGTTAGCTTGATTTCTCAACATAATATTCATGTGGAGACTCCTGGGTCAAATAGCAGCTGTCTGAAATTTAGGGGTGGGATAGCTGGAGCTTTGGGCATAAGGGAACTAGATAACTGGCTTCAAAGATCTTGAAGAGCCCTTGGGTGGAAAGGAGATTAGACTTGATTTGCCTGACCACTGAGGACAAGAGAAAGGGGCAGAAGTTCCAGAAATGCAGGTTTCAACTTGATGGAAGGAAAAAATGAAATGCCTACTAAGGGCAAGCTTGCAATTAGAGCTATTCAGAAATGGAATAGGATGTCCTGGAAGATAGCACCTTCCCCCTCACTAAGAGTCTTCAGATAAAAGCTACATGACCAATTTTCAGGCATGTTGTGGAAGGGATTCCTGATCAGATATAGGTTGTACTACATGGTCTTTGAGGTGTTGTCATATTCTTCAATTCGACGATTCTGTGTTTTTTCTGTCTTCAATAGCTTAGACTCTAAAGTCATCAGGAAACCAATCCCCTTGAGAACACTTTCAAGTAACTCCTTAGTGGATAAATAATGATTAATAATAAATAAATCAGAAGATAATTATGGATGGGATATAACTTGAATGAGATTTAGAAAAACTAAATGTAAAGTTATTGATGTGGGTCTTGAGGGGGTGACATGTGTGTGTGTTTGGGGGACGCTCAGCGTGTTGTCACTGAAAGGAAATGTAAGGGGAACATTTGAAAAGTTTCTGTTCTTCATTCCTAAAAAGGCATAGAAATATGGATATCAAGACCAGTAGTCTCCAAACTTTTTAAATTATGAATCCCATCAGTAAAAAAAAAAAATGAGCATACCGGCTCCAGTACCATAATAGCGAGCATTTAGCTAGCACTTTAAGTTTTTCAAAGTCTTTTACAAATTTTATTTCATTTTAGCCTCACAACAACCCTGGGATAAAGGTACTATTATTGTCCTCACTTTATAGAAGAGGAAACTGGGGTTGACAGCGTTAAATGACTTGTCCAGGGTCATGTAGCTAATAAGTGTCTGAGGCTGGATTTCAACTCAGGCTTTCCAGATTCCAGGTCCAGTGCCCTATCCACTGTGCCACCTAGAACAAATCCCCCTATTTATAAATTATGTAGTGCTATGTTAATAATCATTTACATTATAAAACTCACTCAAGTAATACATCTTTTGAAAGGATAAGATACATATTTAGTACTAGAGTCAATGGAAAGTCACTGTAGTAATTGAATTAGGGGGATGATATGGTCAAACCTGAAACTTTAAGATCAATTTGGCAGCTTTGTAGAGAATGGATTCCAGTGGGGAGAGCCTTGAGGCAAGGAGGCCAGTTAGGAAACTATTGAAATAGTTTGGATGATAGATGATGAGGCCCTGTACTTGAGCAGTGGATATTAGGGGAGGGATGGGATGAATGCAAGAGATGTTCTGGAGATTAAGAGGTACAAGCATTGGCTACTGATTGGATTGTGTAGGCTAAAGGAGAGTTAGCTTAAAAAATTAAAGGAGGCACTAAGATTTCAATCCTGAGTAATTGGAAGAATAATAATTGTTAGCATTTATATAGTGTTTTAAGATTCGCAAAACATTTTGCAAACATTAACTCATTTGATCCTCACATCTCTGGGCGACAGGTGTTATTATTATCATTATTATTATTATTATTCCCATTTTACAGATTAAAAAAAACTGAGCAAGTGACTTAGCCAGGGTCACATAGCTAGTAAGTGTCTAAGACTAGACTTGAACCCAGGTCTTCCTGACTCCAGGTCTAGTGCTCTATTCGTTGCTTCACCTAGCTGCCACCAAAGATGGTGGTACCTTGAACAAAATAAGGAATTCTGATTGGATTTACTGTGTCCCACATAAATCAGAAGGTAAAGGTAGGGAGCAGTGGTCCTGTTCAGTAGCCACTGCCCTGATGCAGTCAGACCATTGAGGGGTCCATACCACAGCCAGAGGTTCTTCTGACTGACCTTTTTTCCACTAGCACCACCAGTCTTCCATGCTTGAAACCTTGAGAGTATCTTTGACTATTTCTTCTCCCTCATCTCTTATACCAAGAAGTTACCAAAGACTAACAGTTCCGCCTCAGCTACGTCCTCTCTTGCCTCACTAGCTCTGTCAAATACATACCTTCATCATACCTTTATTACTGTCTGTTTAACAATTCTTCCTGCCTCTATTCTCCACTCCCGTCCCCTCATAGTCCCATCAGACTAATCTTTCTTATACACAAATCTGGTCATGTCACTGCTCAGAGATTTTCAGTGGCTCCCTACTATCTGCTGAGTAGAATTTCAACTCCTTTGCCAGTCATTCAAGGTCCTCAATAACTTGGCTAGACCTTACCCAGATTCATAACTAGAATGGGGCCACTGGGACTTTTCCCCATTTGGGAAGCTATCTAATACATGTGTTATTTTTACAGCAGAGCACAGTGAGACCATGGTCTCAGATGCTGGCTGAGGAATGGGGAACAGAAAGCCACTATATGGAGGACTTCAATTTATTGACTTCCTCTGTCTCTCGTGTCATCCCATAAATCTTCAATCTGCTTTATACTATTTGTGCCTCACACCCTGTCCCCTTTCCCTTTTCTCTATCCTTTCCAGGCAGACTAGCCTCTCTCCTTCCACAAGCTTTCCCCTGTCCCCCAACCTAGGGAGATGAAGGACAATCCCAGTGCTACTTGTGAGGAAGGAACTTCAGTGAGGCCTCTCTCAGGTAGAGCAGAATAGAGCATGGGACCTCAAATCCCTTACTTGGAAAAAGAAAGCTTAGGACTAAATCCCAGGTCCTTCTAGCTCTCGTATTCTGTCTTCTAAGCTGGCACAGTAACTCTCTCTCCCACTCCACTGAATCTGTCTTAGTTACTTTTTGTATTATTTTCACATTCTGAATTACAAAATCCATTTGAGGTCGACTTAATTTCTTGTTACCGCTGTTGATGCTACTTGGCACATGCCTGGAATATATTCCTTCCTTATTTCTGCCTCATAGGACCTTGTTCTTCCTTTCAGACACAGCTTAAGCGCCACTTTCTGCTTGAAGTCTGTAGTCCCCCCTCCCCAAAGGCAATCGAGGTTAAGTGACTTGCCCAGGATCACACAGCTAGTAAGTATCAAGTGTCTCTATCCACTGCCTGTTCTGATCCTCACCAGCTGCTAGTGCCTCAACTCTCCCCACAAACTACTTTATATTTCATTGTTTTGTAAATTTCTAACCATCCTTTAAAGTCTGGCACAGAACCACTTCCTTCATAAGGCTTGATTCTGCAGCTAATAAAAAACTGTCCGCCTTTTAAACCTCATAAAACACTTTCATTTTGCAGCTCTCTGATTTACTTATCTTTGCCATTACAGATCTAGACCTTGGAGGGCCTTTGGAGTACATCTAATCCAAATTCCACATTTTATAGATGGTAAGTGAAATGACCTAATATAATGTATTATAGCTACCTCTGTGTCTTATCTATCCCTCTGCCAGACTATAATTAAATTCAAATTAATAAACATTTATTAATTCCTGAAGTGTACAAAGCATTATGCCAGGAGATATGGATATAAAACCTAAAATTAAACTGTTCTTGGAATTGACATTCTGTTGATGTCAATAGGAGTGCAGTGAATTAACTCCAGAAGCTGTGCTGACTTCTATGGACAGATTAAGAATAGCTCAAGTTTAAAATCCTGCAGTTTGTAACCCAACAATTCTATACTTTGTTGTTGTTTGTTGAATCATTTTAGTTGTGTCCAACTCTCTGTGGCTCTATTTTGGGGTTTTCTTGGCAATGATATTGGAGTAGTTTGTCATTTCCTTGTCCAGCTCATTTTTCAGATGAGGAAACTGAGGCAAACAGGGTAAAATGTCTTGCCCAGCGTCACATAGCTAGTAAGTATCTGAGGGTGGATTTGAACTTAGGCCCTCCTGACTCCAGGGCCAGTGCTCTATCTACTGCACCACCTAGCTACCCCTTTATACTCTGTGAATTAGATTTAAAGATAAATTGTTATTGATATCTTTTCTTTTCATTTCTCCTTAATTTCTCTAAGTGCCAATAGATGCTTAATAAATGCTTATTGACTGATTCTCCTAAAATAGTTTGGCAAATACCGTTCCTCCCTGCAAATGAAGTCCCCTGTAACAAGTAATATTTTTGAAGAAAAAAAAAGGAAGAAAGAGAGGAAGAAAAAATAATAAAACTAATCAACTCATCAAAAAAGCCCTAAATTATATGCAGTGTTCCACATTTATGGACCTCTTCCCCTTCCCTCCCCCTTGCAAAGGAGGTATTTTTTCAAATCTCTTTGAGGCTATGCAATTCTACAATGTTCGATTTCAATTTATTTTACATTAATGCCCTTAAGTGCTCAGCTCCATGGAGGTAGGGACTGTGTCTTCTCTAAATGTTGTATCTTTTCCAGGGCCAAGCACACTACTGGGGCACACAGTAGGTGCTTAAATAAATTTGCTGAATATTATTGGATCTGAAGCTCTCCCCTGTTTCATTTCAACTTTCAGTATTGCAGATCCTTCCAGGCAAGAGCCCAAAAAACATTTAAAAATCAGTAACAGAGAATGTGTCCTGCAGAGAACAGCTCTGGTAATAATCTTGTGCATACCTGCAGAATACCACTGTCTTTACCAATCAGTGTTCAGCTACTTGGATGTTTCCTGGTTACGGTTGCTATTGATCTGTCTTAGGGCAAAAAGAAAAAACCCAATTTTTCCCATGACTTAACTCACGCCCTATTTGTCCAACATTCCTGTAATAGCTGATCATTGGCCTCTTCATCACACCACTATACTATTTATTATCTGGCTAATCAGTGCAGTGAACTGTTAATTGCTCAGGGACTAAATAAATCAGGCCTTTTTTTTTTTTAATAGGTGGGAGGAGGCATCTGCAATGGCTTCCAAACCTCAAGTTTATTCAGGTAACAAATTGATGCTATCTTAGAAAGAAAAAAAAAAGATATTTTATATCACCTGAAATCTTCTAATCAATTTAATTAAAAGGAATCCAGCTTTGGTTTTACCAACAGGAAGCATTCTTATGGCTGATTCTCCTCCAGTGGGAAGCAGCCACTGGTTTAAGCTGATTTCCTTTCCTTCCTCGTAAGGTGGACTGTTAGAATGTAAGCTCCTCTAGGGCAGGGATTGTTTGTTTTATTTTTATATCTCCAGTGATTACTAAAGATGCCTGGCATACAGTAGGAACTTAATAAATACTTGTTGAGTTGAATTGGACCTGTATCTTCATCCTAGAATAGATTTCTTGGGCCATTTTTTCCCATTTGATGGTTGTAGAATAAAATGGAATTTTCATTTCTAAATAGATAAAGCAAAGTAAAGGCCAAAGAAAACTTTTATCAAATTGATGCTATCCCTAAACCAGAGAAACTGCCTATTATCAATATAGGATCATCAGATTCTCCCTGTAGAGCTGGAAGGGATCTTAGAGGTCATCTAGAGTATCAGGTTTTACAGTGAGGGTAGCACTGACTTCACTAACCACACTCCTCATGTCTATATGGCTCAAGGATATATCAAGTAAAGTATAAGGGTTGAGGTTGGAGTAAGCAAAGGATTCTTTCATAGGATAGAATGGCTTCAGATACTTAACTAGCTGTGTGGCCCCAGGCAAATCATTTAACCTCTCTTTGCCTTATTCCACTGGAGAAGGAAATAGCAAATATCTCCAGTATCCTTGCCAAGAAAACCCCATAGACCGTCTGATCCACTCATGAAGAATCAAATATGATTGAATGATTGAACAACAGTCATCTATAGGATGCTCTTCCCATTCCCTGTTAATTCTAGTGCCTTTCCTCTATTGATTATTTCCTGTTTATCTACATCTGCATGTTGTCTGCCCAATTCGATTGTGAGTTCCTCAAGGGCAGCAGCTGTCTTCTGCCATTCTTTGTATCCCCAGCATTTAGCACAGTGCCTGACACATACTTAATAATGATGCCTATTGACTGACTGATTGTCTTAATAATCTTATAACTGCTATGCCCAGAGCATTGTTGGGGATGACAACTCCTATATCTGTAATAACAGTTATAATAGAATGAGAGTACAAACCAGTTCCAGTAAATTAAATGATATGACAGGAACCATTTCTATCTAAGAGAAGAGGAAATAATAGAAAGAGACTTCCTGGTGCTTATGATATTTAAGCTTGGTCTTGAAAAATGGGTGGGATTTCAACAGGTGGAGATTATCACGTAGGGGATAGAAAGGTCTTTCCAAACACAGTTTGAGGAAAGGCAGAGGTAAACATTTTAGACATGTTCAAGTGATAGCCAGTAATACAAGTCAACTGAAACATAGCATATGTGGAGAGAATGGAGAAGAAAGGAGGAAGGCACCATATTGAGGAAGGCCAACCAAAAGAGTTTGGACTTTATCCAGTAGAGAGTGGGGAGAGTTTTGAACAAAGGCATTAAGTGATCATATCTGTGCATAAGGAAGATTAATCTGACTCTGATGTGAAAAATGAATGAAAAGAATGGAGTGATGAAAACCAATTAGGAGGTTGTTAGAGAAGTCCATTTTTCACTTTGGCAAAGCCCTCTACATTTGCAAGAGAAACCTTTTTGCTGAGAGCCAGTTAGTAAATTTATTGAGGATTCATTATTCAGTAACAGAGAATATCCAAAAGTGGTAAGGAAAACTAGATCTGGAACATGGGAGACAGTTCCTTCAAGAGGAGGTTACTTTCTCTTTCGTGTAAATACCACCAAAGTAGCCCAACCTCATGATAAGAACTGAGATGCTGAGTGCAGAGTTATTCATTTTTGTAAGTAAATGGTCAAGAGTGACAAAGCCCTTCCTGAATTTTTTTTCATGGGAACCCAGACTTGTCTATTGGGGGGGGGGCCAGGAACCTTAACAGTTGTTATTTGCTTTGTTCTGGGAGCTTCATTTAATAAAAGAGAGTTCAGTTCTTTAATGAAGATTTTTTTTTTCAAATTGAAAAATAAAACAAAAAAGAAAACTCAGCAAAACCCACAGCCAGCATGTACAAAAGAAATCAATTCCTTTTCATTTCAAACTTGAAAAGATTCTACTTTCCAGTCTTAAAAGGCAGGTGGTGGTTGAGTTTGATTGGGGTTTTTTGGAGGGTGGGGTGAAGTGGAAGGTGGTTATTGTTATTGGTGGTTTTTTTAAGACAGTAGGCAAAGAAGAACAGATTAAGCTTGTGCTTCAGTGGCTAATAATATAACAGAAACAAGAATAAAGCCTTGCTTATGTCTGGAGAGCCAACAAAAGTGAGTCAGAAATGCAAAGGAAAAAAAGCAAATAAGAGACTTTCAGCAGTCAGAATAATACCAATCTATTACTGCCAATCTCATACCTGGATTTTCTGCCCCCTGAGTTATTGTGAGTTTGTTGTTTAGGGGTAGTTGTTTTGTTATCATTGTTGTTGATATTTGGGGGGGGGGGTTGGGAGGCATTTCTTTCCATAACTAAGTCACTTGCAGACCTTTTATGAGTTAAACAGTAATGTTTTCCAACTGAGCAAGCTCTTTTCATAGATTGACCGGGAATAAATTGAGTAATAATTCTATTCATTTTTATTATTTGTATCAGGCAAACAAATGCCATTTTATTATGAAAATGAAGTCTGCAGACAAGCCTACTTTATTAAATCACCACCTCCTCAGCTTTTCTCCTCACAGGTATGGTATTCAGTACAATTAGGAATCCTCCCACTGCCTTCCTGAGCAATTTTTCTTCTGCTCTCCCAACATCTCACAAAAATGCAAAAATCTTTGTTTATTGTGCAGACCTCCTGGAAAAGTCGGTATTTCATCCTGTCAAAAAATGAGGAAAATTGCTATAGTCTTCACTATTTTAAAGACCATCACTGCAGGGGTTCCATTGAAGTTGATCAGTGAGTATAATTTTTATCAACTTCAGATCCTGAAAAATCAAAGTGGCTTCATATAAATAGTGAATTTAAATCATTGATCTAGGGAGTCAAGCCAAGGGCTTCAAGCAGAAAGTGACTTGTCACTGGAAAACAGCTAAGAGTGAACATTTTGAAAAAGACACACAGGGTTTTATTGCACAGTCCATATAGTTTAGTTGTTAAAACTCCAAGTAACAAGAGTTCAACAAAGAGAGACCGTGTTTTTTCAGTCTTAGAAATTACTTGTGAGTGTGTGTATGTGTGTGTATGAATGTGTGTGTGTATTTCCTCCTGACTAGATAACATTTACCTATACTACAAAAGGAAGGTGAAAGGATCGTTTAATCTATGCAGAACTTTGTTGCTTAAGTGAGTCATTAGGAAAACACATTAGGTTACATCATCACTTCTCATATTAACAAATTGCTCAGGAGATAGCAAAGAAAAGACTTAAGATTCATTAATAGGAAACTGGGAACGTGAACGAAGCCAAAATGAAGCCCAAACTAATACAAATCACAATACTTTTCTCAGCCTCGCCTGAACCAAATCTAAATATTAATGCAACCACTACATTATAAGCCTAAGAAATAATTTTTGATCACTTAGTGAACAAGTCTGAACCAGTACCAAATTTAGTTTCTAAGACTACTAAATCATCAGGCAGCTAGGGAGCACAGCAGATAGAGTGCTGGGCTTGGAATGAGGAACACACATTTTCCTAAGTTCAAATCTGGCCTTAGACACTCACTAACTGTGTGACCCTGGGCAAATCACTTAACCCTGTTTGCCTCAGTTTCCTCATCTGCAAAATGAGCTGGAGAAGGAAATGGCAAGCCACTCCAATATCTTTATCAAGAAAACCCCAAATGGGGTCACAACTGAAACGACTCAACAACAAGCAAGAACCGAATCACCATTGAAATATTCTCACAAGTGGAATGGGTATCCTATTAGAAACTTTAATTTTCATTTGAATCCAATAGATATCTCATACTTTTCAATTCCCTGCATAAAATTATACACATTTTCTCCCCAGTTTTTTTGTTTACATGAGTTTAATAGGACATGTCATAGAGTTATGGTAGAGTGCTGGATTTAGAAGTCAGGAAGACCTAGATTAGAATATTACCTCAGACTAGCTGCCTTATGCCAAGAAAGTCACTAAACTTTTTCCAGCCTCAATTCCCTGATATATAAAATGGGGATAACATCTATGGTACTGTATAGGATTGTCCTGAGGACCAATGAGATCATTTGGGGAGCTTTGCAAATATTAGGGCACCAGCTAAATCACTACTGTTATTATCACTCAACAGGATTTCCAATATAGAAGTTGGCATCAGTAACCATGAGAAAATGGCATTAGTCCAAAAGATGTTTAAATGCTTACCTGATGAAGTGATGTCCATTATAACCCCTAAAAGGGCTTACTTTCTCATTGGCAAAGACTGGTGAGTGGCAGAAGGAAAAAAGATTTCTCTTCTATAATTTCTCTACTCTTCCTTTTCAACTTAATCTGAGACCAATACAGCAGGTAACAAACCCAAATATAGCATACACTTGAATTTTTTTTTTGTTGACTTGAATATCATCTTAATAGAGTCTACTATTTGTAAAGAAATCCTGATGGCTCTTGCTTTAAGAAAACTGGATATTCCAACACAAAAAGATATAAATTAAGGGTTAATGATTCTCCTCTCAGAAGGATCTACCACTTGATGCAAAAGATTTCTTTCAGCAAGCATGCTGAATACATTACTTGCTGATTATTAGCAAATTGACAAAAAAGTTGGGAAACAGAGCAAGAAATAGATAACTTGTGGAGACAGAAAGAGCACTTTAAAGCATTAGGCACCACAAACAATTTGGTTATGATCAATGAGAAAATAAGACTTCTCTGAAGTTTTCATGGGAGCAAACTGAAAATAAGATACAATTTATAGAAATTTAACGAACCTTTTTGAGAATACCATCTTATGTCAAGTGAGACAGAATTTGGGTAGTTTATACAAAAGCACAGGCAGGTTAGGTACATGCTCAAAAGCACAGAAGAAATTGGTGTGTAAGACAGGCATTAAAAACTATATCATTATTACAATTATTTGCTACTTTCCTCCTCATTCCTACCCACTTTCCTCATAGAGGCATCATAAGGATTCATCTTTGAAATTGGGGTGGATGAGTATGGGGGGAGTTCTGGGGCCAGGTACCTATTGAAGAATGGAACCTTATTTCCCTGCTAATGTTCCTTGGGCTTTTATAACTTCAAATAGCAGAATTTTGGCTCAAAATAAATCCAACCACTATTGTTCACTATTGAAACTTTAATTTCCATCAACAGGAGAACAATTGAAGACTGGGTCTCCTTCATATCATCATCCTGCCTGAATCTGAAAGTCACCCATCAGAATGTAAAAGTGACATTCCTTTACTAATAATGCAGTAGGCCATCTAAGTCTGACCTTCTTTCAGAAGTAATCAACAGAGCTTCCTCCTCCTCCTCCTCCTCCTCCTCCTCCTCCTCCTCCTCCTCCTCCTCCTTCTTCTTCTTCTTCTTCTTCTTCTTCTTCTTCTTCTTCTTCTTCTTCTTCTTCTTCTTCTTCTTCTTCTTCTTCTTCTTCTTCTTCTTCTTCTCCTTCTTCTTCTATAAGTATCGGGCCCTGTATTTTTTCTATTGCTGATAAGGAGAAATACTTCCCTATTTGCCAGGAGAGCTAGATTACACACAGATAATTACGTTTTCATTACTGTGGGAGGGGGAATGACAAGTCTTAAAATACAATATTTTTAGTAGTTAGCTGGAGCCATTGAATTTTCTCTCACTGTTATACACAGTAGCTTCCTTCTTAGTAGCTAAGTTTAGAGTTGTTTTGGTAAAAAAACAACAACAACAACAACAACATCGAAAACTTCACTTGCTTTTTGTATTTGTACCTAGTCACTTCAATTGAACAACTTTTTGATTCACTTAATATGGTCTTCATTAACTAATGTAAGTCCGTGACAGGACAAGGAAACAGCCCTATCTGCCCCCAGTCTGGGAGTTTTCTTCTTTTTCTATTCTTTGCATATTGGACCTTGACTGGCCAATACCCCAAGACTTTGATTTTTCTTTACTACCTTTTATGTGCCTGGCCACCAGGGTAGTCTAATGCCCTTCAGATTCTCCTAGACTAAATATGGGTACCCACCTTATTTCCTCTTAGTGTACCAAGACAGAGACTGAATTTTTTCCAAGGGTTTTGCAGTCCAATTCAACAATTATTTACTGTGTTTGCTATTTGCAGACAGTGAGTGGGGATACAAAACCAAAATGAATCAGTCTCTGACCTCAGGAAGCTTACATTCTACTGGGGAAAGACAATGTAGTTGAAAATAAATAAAGACACAATAATTTTAGTAGAGACAGTAATTACTGTATGGATCAGAAAAGACCTCTCTAGGAGGTGGCACTTGAATTGAAATTTGTAAGTGAAGTTAGAAGTTCCAAGAGATGGCGATGAGGAAGGAGAGTATTCCAGACATGGGGCTCAGTCTATGAAAAGGCACAGAGGTGGGAGGTAGGATGCAGAATGGATTTTACTAACATGTTAAGAAATTAAGGTAAAATAAAACTAATTTATAAAGTACAGAATTGTTAATATAAGACTCTAGACTTAAACTATGCCTAATCTAGTCACAGAGCTCAGCACAACTTACTAATCAATTCCCCTTGACATCAATAATAATAATAGCTAGCATTCATGTAGCACTTCAAGGTTTGCAAAGTACTCTACAAATATCATTTCATTTTATCCTCACAACAACCCTGAGCCATAGGTGCTTTCAATATTCCCATTCTATAGATGAGGAATCAGAAGCCAGAATAGATTAAATGACTTGCCAAGGGCCACACTGCCACTAAGTGTCTAAGAGCAGAGAGAAATCTGTTTGGAACCTAGCTCTTCCAGACTCCAGATCCAGCGCTCTATTTACTGTGCAACCTAGCTGCTTCCAAGCATCTAAATCAGTAGAATTTAAACTCCTTGAGAGCATGAATTTTCATTTTTGTCTTTGTGTACCCCAGCATATCGTAATTGCTTAATATATTTGTTGAAATAAACTGATATCACTTATCTATGACTCAGTCCCATAAACATAAGTACCAAGGACTCAAGTACAGCATTACAGTGAAGTTGCAAGGTACTAGCATTCCAACAAAAAAGAATTTCTATGCACACACCACACACCCCCCCCCCACACACACACTAATAAATTTGCATTTATACTTGGTTTAGAAAATCAGGGGAAAAAAAGAAATGGTTCAACATCTTTTTCCTTTGACTTTTCTTGAAGGCCCCATAAGACACAAACAATGCAGTCAGCTCTAAAGGGAGAGTTTTAACTCCCCCTCATATTCATGCTACTTTTGTATTTCCAGAATCCAAATCTTGTAAATCAAAATGCCAGAAATGAGGCCAATGTTGTACAGCCTCTTGACTCCAAAGGAAACCAGAACATCTATCAAATCATTCCAGGAATCTGTGATGTAAGGATACAAGTATTTAACCTAACCAAAGGGGAGCTCAAATTTGAATATAGCAACCACCTGTGCATACTCTCTGTTTGACCTTGGAAAAGTCTTTTTCCTCTCTGGGTCTCAGTTTCCTTATCTGTGAAATGAGGGGTTTGAACCAGGCCTTTTCCACTCTCAATCCAGTGATATTCTTTGACTATCTACCTTGATGCAGAAATCGGGATTAGTGAACAAAATTCCAGCATACTGATGTTTAGGAAAAATTCAGCCCTAGGCTCACACAAACACTTTCTTGTCTGGAAGTTTTAAGTTAGGGGAAGGATAATACCTTCATTAACTTTGTTCTTCCTCAGGATGTGCAAGAGATACATTTCTCAGAAGAAAAAAGACCTGCTTCCTATTCTGGCCATTCTTCTGGTTCTCCTGCTTCACCAGAGGGCAAGACTTGCTCAAGCCTTCCAAGAAACAGTCTCCCAGACATGGTAATTAGTTACTTTTCTCATGTTATCCGCCTATGTGATACTAGACCCTTCACTCTAACATGTTTAGGATTTAAATAGATTTTACTTTTCCTGTTCATAGCAATAGAATTGGAACCTTGTCCCTTTTCCTTGAAATACTTTCCACTCTACCAATGGTTCTCCACTTAATAAAATTTCTCTTAAATTTAGTCTAAATTTTTAAGTAAGACTTCAGAACTTTATTCTTCGTTCTACCAGGATCTAAGCTTCTCTCTTCATAATTGGAATTGGGGGGAGGGTGGCGGGGCATCTAGGTGGTGCAGTGGGTAGAGCACCAGCCCTGGAGTCAGGAGGACCAGAGTTCAAACCCAGACTCAAACACTTGATGCTTATTGTGTGACCCTGGGGAAGTCACTTAACCCCAAATGCTTTGTCAAAAAAAAAAAAACAGAATTGGAACATGGCACAGCCCACTAGAAAGCCCATTGGACTTGGCAGTCAAGAGATATTTTACATCAGCTCTACTGCTAACATGAAACTAATAATTTCTCCTATCTGGATCTCAGTTTCTCATTTGTAAAAATATAGGAGTTAGACTAGAGGACTGTTCTTGCTCTGATTCTGTGATTTAGGTTGCCATTAGGGAAAACCTGTCCAAGGACTGTATCAGTCTCTAGGAAGGTGGATCTCACTAAATTGGAAAGTTGCTTGACTCCCTAGAAACCCAAAATCCTTTCTCCTCATGAGGGGCCCCCTGGTAGAGTCTTATTATAAGCTTGGAGGACTGTAAAAAGAAAATCTCTGGGGAATGTAGAGGCCCACCAGCCTGTAGATGAGAATTGTGTTGGCTGTTTCCAAACTCAGATGAGAGAGCTCAGTTGTTGTTAGGTTAAATAAAGCCCGTCCTATAGTCAATATTGTTAGCCTGAATGCTTGCATGGGAACTCAAAGCCTTTTTGCCTTTGTTGTGGAGACTCAAATGTGGATTCGATTCTGGTGTTCCTCAAATAATTTCTAGGCAGAAACAAAATTAGTTAAATTCTAATGCTTCCTTTAGAAACTGGATGAGTGAATGAGACAAAGGGAGAGATAAAGAGAAACCTCTCATTTTAAATAGGGTCTACCACTTCGGTACATGAGCTACATTTTGGTTGTGTCCTCATTTTGATTTGCAGAACTTAGATTCACTTTAAAAAACAGATACAGAATATTACCATTTCAATGCCTTGATAATGCCTAGATTTACCAGTCCCAAAGTCACTTTTTTGATTGACTCCCTTCTCTTACCTTGCTCAGTTCACTTCTTCCTAGGTGCCAAATTTCACCTCTACTTCTAACAAGACCCATTTTGCCAGGGAAGACTCCACGAGGCATCTAGGTTGAATAAAGGATAGAGTGCCAGACCTGCAGTCTTGGAGACCTAAGATTGAATCCTGCTTCAGACACTAGTTGATTAGCTCTTGGCAAGTCATTTAGCTTCTTAGCCTCTGTTTTCTCATCCATAAAATGGGGATATTAATAGCACCTACCTCACAGAGAAGTTGTAAGGATAAAATGAGATAATATATGAAAAACATTTTGCGTACCTTAAAGAGCTATGTAAATCATAATTATTATTATCTTCGAAGAATTGAACTCTCTGTTTCCTTGGATTTTCTCACTCCTCACTTCTGAGTGTAATCAGAGTGAGTGATGCTTCTCAGGGATGCACTTCAGTGCTAGGGCATCCTTCCAAACTGATACTGTTTTCTTCCCTTCGAGGTCCAATTCCCCTTCCCCTTCCCCATTCCCCATTTATCAAGCACACACTAATGAAGTGTGACATTTCATTTGGTAGAGTTGGTAGGTCTCCAACTCCTTAGCTCCTTAGTTTTTTAGGTGGATTAGATATATCACATATGCCAAGACAACTTGTCTCTGACATTCAAGTAAATGAGTAGAGAATTGATATAGAATGTATCAGTGTGACTTCCTCCCCTACTTTTAACTTCTGAGATTCCCCATCTTCAAGAATTAGTAATACTGCGTGGAATTCTTTGTACTTAGGCTCAGTGATTTTAAACCTTCTTGAGGTAACAAGATGCTCTGTATTGATCTTTATTAAGAAGGGTCCTCCTTTTATCCACAGCCCAGTGCCAACCTCAGCATGGGCAATGAGCACATTAAATACACCTACTATTGTCACCTTCTTCCTTTTAGGGCTCCCTAGAGAACTATAGAACCTATTGAAAGTCCCTGTCTTGAACCATTGTTCCTGAAAGGATTTAACTGTGCCAACCACCATTTACCCGCCATCCATAAGAGTTCAGAATGGTTCAGTACCTAATAGGGGGAAGTGGGGAGGAAATAGAGAATCATTGTTTTAATCTACACCACTTTGAAGTCCATCATTCCTACTATGGTATGATTAATGCTATGAAAATGCATTGCTATGGAAACAAGAGATGTCCACAAGCAGAATATAAAGGAGGTTTGCTCAGCAGGTTCCCTGCAAATAGTCAGCACAGTAATTACCTTCTCCTCCAGCAATGCCTGACAGTAGGAAAGGATGCCAGAAGAGACAGCTCAGCTATAGAAATTAGTGACTTAGAAAAAAATCAGCAAAGAAAAATACATCCAGCCTGACAGTTGCCAATGGCGGAACAAAGACTGAAGAATGAAAAGCATTAGGCTTGGAACCAGCTAACCTGAGTCCCAGGCCAGGCTCTTCCACATCTTTTATATGACCTTGGGTGAGTCTCTGTGCCTTAATATTGTCATCTAAGAAATAAAAGAACTGAAATAATCCCTCAGTTCTATTTTAGTTCTAACATCCTGAAATTCTGAAATTGTTATTAAAGAAAAACACAAATAAAATAAAGAAATGCTTATTTTTATGAAACTATATGTAGTCAGTTGAAAAGTAAGTTTCCTGAGCAAAGGGCATAGGATTCTGAATGTTGCTTCGGCAGATCTTTTAATCTTCTCTAATGGAGATAAAAATAAATTTATTTGTTTTGGCTTTTCCAGAAAACATTTGCTCTCATTCGATCACATGCAGTGAAATTGAAAACACTTAATTATTTCCCCAAGTCCCAAAGGAAACATGACTTTCTTCTTAATCAGCATCAAATAGAAGGGAATTCTTCAAGACCCAACCAATCTCCTCCAACGAGTGATTTAGCTCCTGAGAACCAACAAGAGACAGAAGAGGAGAATTATTATCTTAGCCCTCGAAGTGTTCTTGCCCAGGTACTCCTGTCAACCAATCTTGCTAAGGGTCTGTAGTATGACCAGCGTTATACTTGACACTATCAGGAATGCAAAAAGAGACTTTATGAAGTTTAGAATCTAATATGGCTTAGTCTAGATGTGTTTGCCTTGTTAGACATACTCTGACATGGTGGGATTAGGATAGGATTAGAACCACAACATCCGGATTTTGGTCTCACTTTTGCCATTTTATAGCTCTATGATCCTAGGCAAGTCTGTCTGATCCTCAGTCCCCTCATCAGTAAAATGGGAATAATACCATTTGTCCTACCTTCATCCAAAGATTGTTAGACGAATCAAAGATGTAAGGTGCATTAAGTGCTTTGTAATTGTGAAGTGCTTTTTAAAATTCAAGCTGTTATCTGTCATTAGACAAAACAAACATATACGAAACATGAAATTGGGAAATTTCCCTGAGAAGACTGAGGCTATTGAATATATCTGCACACATCCTCTCTCAGTCCCTCTCCTTCCCATCCTCCAAACTCTGGAGCAGCAGCATCCTCTCTCTCTCTCTCTCTCTCTCTCTCTCTCTCTCTCTCTCTCTCTCTCTCTCTCTCTCCTCTCTCTCTCTCTCTCTCTCTCTCCTCTCTCTCTCCTCTCTCTCTCTCCCTCTCCCTCTCACTCTGTCTCTGTCTCTGTCTCTGTCTCTGTCTCTGTCTCTCTCTCTGTCTCTCTCTCTGTCTCTCTCTCTCTCTCTCTCTCTTTCTGTCTGTCTGTCTGTCTCTGTCTTTCTCTGTCTCTCTGTCTCTCTGTCTCTCTCTCTCTCTCTCCCTTCCCTCTGATTGCAGAAGGCAAGATGTCTTTAAGGCTCCCTGCATTTGCCTTGATCCCATTCACTTTCCCTTCTTCCACAACCTTGTTCCAGGAATCATTCCCTTTCTGTGATGCACCTTCAGTCTTTCTTCCCTTCCTGATGATTACTTTCCATCTGCCTAAAAAATGCTCAGGTCTCCCCAAATCTAAAAAAGTCCGCAAAACCCAAAAAGCCAAGCTCTTTCCCCATTTAGCTACTATCCCATCTCTCTCTTCACTGCTAAACTTCTTTTAAAAAGCAGTCTGCTTGATATCTCTACTCTTTCACCATCCACTCTTTACTCAGATTCTTATAATGTGAACTCTACCCCCTACTGGAATGGCTTTCATAAAATTTAACAATGGCCATATTCAATGACATTTTTAGAATCATTGTCTTCCTTGAACTCTCTGTAGCCTCTGGCATGGTCAACTACCACCTCTTACTAGATACTCTCTCCTTATTTGGCTTCAAAAGCATAATACTCTTCTAGTTCTTGAAACCATCCCCCCTCCTCCATTCTTTCTCTGTCTCTTTCACTGGCTCTCTGTCCTCTTACTAGCTTCTAAGTTCTGTCCACATCCCATTTCTTTCCTCAGTCCCTTCATTTGTAATGGGGATAATAATATTTGTCTTACCTCTATCCAAAAATTGTTATAAGAATCAAAAGAGAAAAGGTCCATAAAGTGCTTTGTAATTGTAAAGTGCTTTATAAATTCAAGCTGTTATCTATCATGAGACAAAATTAATACATGTGACCTCACATGACACTTTTGTCATTCAATTCTTTAATGTTTGTTGGTTGAGAACAAAACCAGAACAGAAAAAAAAGTTTTAGAAAAAGTTTGTTAAGTCAAGAAGGGGTAAGATTTAATTGCCTACTTATATATTCTTGTATTCAACAATTACTTATTAAAGACCAACTATGCACAACATTGTATACTTATTACTAAAGGGAATACAAAGATAATTAAGCATTATCCCTGCTCTCATGGAGTTTACAGTCTAGATGGGGGATATGGCATATATGAAAATGTTGTAACCATACAACTGGGAAGTGGAATGAAGGGGGCTTAGCAGTTGGGTTCATTGGGATTAGCAAAAGTGCAAAAGCAAGGAGAAGCAAAGAAATGATGAAGAAGTTAGCATAGTGGTAGAAAAGAGTTCACTTTGGAGGAGAGTGGAAAATGCTTTTGAACAGAAGAGTCAGAACAAATTACTTAAGGCTTTAAAGTTCAAGCAGAATAATTTGGATTTGAGGCAATAGACAACTGGGAGTCATTGTGCATGCGTGTGCATGCCTCTGTGTGTGTGTGTGTGTGTGTGTGTGTGTGTGTGTGTATGTGTGTGTGTGTGTGTGTGTGTATGTGTGTGAGTGTAAAATTATTACTGTTTTTCAAGACAAAGCCAGCTTTGATCTTCATGGCTTTGTTGAGGTCACAATATGATGGTAATGTCTTCTGGGACTCTAGGTTCTAAGATTTATAACTCAACACTTTAACTCTGTTTAGACGGCTGCCTTGTTTCATATGCACTAAAAATACTGGGTAAATAAATAGATTATGACAGATGTGAATTCCAAACAATGGTAAATGGTCAATTGCTCCACAAAGGAGTTATAGGTGTCATAAGCACAGGAGAGAAGAGCCTGGGCTTTTGTCGGTTAGGGACATCTTGTTGCTTCAGATCTTGTTGCTTCAGATCTTGCTTTGGTATTCCCTCGAATGAGGCTTCCTGGTTGATTTAATGTGATCTTGTCCCATTATGTGACAAGTGCCCAAGGTAATCACAAGCATAAGAAGAGACAAAGCATTAGAGTGAGGGAGTGATGGCAGAGGGGAGCAGAGTGAGTTGCAGGTGTGCCCTCTTGACACACCTCTTCGCCCTTAAGGTTGTTCCTCTTTGTATGTGTGTTGGTTGTTAGTTGGACACTCTGATTGCTTCAAATGAAGGCAAAGAATTTGCTGAATCCGAAGAGCCAGACCAGGTCTCCAAGCCAACTGATGATCTCTACATGTCAATGAAATCTTGGTATGTACAACTAGTCAATTATAACACATAGATTAGTTTTTTTCTAGAGCCATTTCTGCTCCAACCTGAAATGAAAGTCACTATTAATCAAGACAGCTTCCCAGCATTTTGTGTGCCTAATATCCCATAAAAGTAAGAGTTGTCCACTTACCCACAGATGAGCTGTAGTGACATCCTCAGGACATATCCCCTTTTCTGGGGAAGTTATTTTAGGATCATTTTTTTAAACTTGGTGTCCCACCCCCACACATACATTTTTTGTTCCCAAGAGGCAGTGAGGTATGATGGAAAGAGTGCAGGATTTTAAAAAATGGGTTCAAATCCCAGGTCTGCTACCTGTGTGACCTTGGAAATTGAATCTCTCCAGATCTCAATTTCTATATCTTTAAAACAAGGGGTTATAGCAACTTCCTCTGCAGTGTCTTTCAGTGTCTAAATCTATGATCCTATGACTTGTCCCATCCCCAAAACCAATGTAGAGAACTGATTTTGGTTCCATGCCCATTTTAGAAGGTTATTTTTATTTTATCTGATTTTAGCCATGGCCATAACACTGATGGTTAGATGTACTTCAACTTGTCACTTTGCTAATAGTTCTTGGATTCTCTTTCAAACACAGCAGAACTAGCTGTACATGGTCATGCCAACTCAAGACGGTCAGAGTTTGTTTTAAACTATTATGCTTTAGTTTTGATGAAGAGAAATTCCAGCAACCTTCCAACAGCACAGATGAAGCTCAGGCCTTCCCAGAGAACCAGGCTGAGGGGCTCAACCCGCAGGGACAAGAGCTGTGTCATTCATCCAGTAGCGAAGGACCAAAGACCAAGAACCAGAAAATGGGATTGGTTTCACTCTCCATTGTGCAGCTATCCAGAATAATCAAGTAATGACTTAAGTTCCCAAACTTGTGGTTCATGGGCCTAGGAGTAGACTGGGAAATCCTTTTTACCGGTCTTTAAAGCAGTTCTAAGCAGTCCCCGTGTCTACCAAAAAAGTCCCTCACCCATGGCACAATGAAGCCAAAATAACTGCTACTTGAAGAAATGCAATTTGTCTGCTGTGGGTGGCATTTTCTACCTCCATGAAAGTCCTTGAGAGGCAGGGTGGCAAAAAGGGGAGAGAGCTGGCTTTGGAGCTGAGAAAATCTGCCTCCATGTCCCACCTCTGACACACATTGGCTGAGTGGCCCCAAGCAAGTCTTCACCTCTCATTGCCCTATGAAATTCTCTGATTCTCTAAATTGCAGAGAGGGTGTCAGCCTGCATTGGTAGGAGTTGTTCCTTGTCTTCAACTTCTCTGCACCTATGAATTCACAGGTCTTGACTCTATTAAATTGTCCCTGTTTGGTCTTATTTGGCCAAGACTGTACGCAAGTAGAAACTTTGAGGGAAACAGAAACTGTGCATTGTGGGTAATTTGCATGGTGTGTGTGTGTGTGTGTGTGTGTGTGTGTGTGTGTGTGTGTGTATGTATGTGTGTGTCCATCTTCAATATTTAAATGATCACTGGCATTAAAAGCTCACAAACCCTTTGCCAAAACTGAGAAAGGAAACCCCAGGGTCTGTGCATTGTCAGTTATTATTGAGTGAGTTCTCCAGTTTTCACTTTTCCTACTTTCTTCCCATGCTTAAATATCTACAGAAGATAAATGTATATATGAAAGAATTCAGTAATCTAGCCCAGATTCTTAGCTTCTTTGCAGTATCAACACCTTCCCCACTACCCCATCTCCCCCAAAATAAATTAATGCATTTTAAAAAAAGATGTTCCCGATGAGTATTTTGTAAATGAGAAACTAGGAAAACAGCATATAGAATGAGATATTTCATAGGATCATGGATTTAGAACTGGAAGAAAACCTACAGACAGGCCATTTAGTCCAATGCCTTCATTTTATAGAGGAAACAGACGCCCAGCAAGGTTTGCTAACCAAGGGTTACTCAGCTAGAGTTTGAGACCGGATTCTAATCCAGCTTTTCCTGATGCTAAGTCCAATGCCCGAACCACTATACCATACTGCCTCTGAAAAGTGATAATAATAGCAATAAAAGCTAAGATTTTTTATAGCACCTGCTATGTGCCAGGCAGTGTGCTAAGCGTTTTACAATTATCATCTCATCTGATCCTCACAACAACCCTGAGAGGTAGGTGCTAAAATTATCCCCATTTTACAGATGAGGAAATTGAGGCAAAGAGAGGTTAAGTGACTTGCCCAGGGTCACAAAGCTAGTAAGTGTCTAAGGCCACATTTGAACTCAGGTCTTTCTAATTCCAGGCCTGAGACTCTATCCACTATACCACTTAGCTGGCCCACCAGTAGAGTCTAAAATTTTGCTTGCTCAGGACTGGTTGTGTGGCCTGATTTTACTAATGTCCTTTCTCACAGTAACATACCTGCTGGAAGCCCCCTGGAAGAGGTGGATGTATTCCTTTCCAAGAATGACATCAGCAAATACCTGACACTCACACAAGCTATAGGTCATATATGGTAGGTATGCCTTGGACCTTGGTCATACAGGTGATGAATCTGAACAGGTTTGAAGTACCCAAACAATACAGTACCTTCAAATGTTACTTGGGGAAACAATCTGGTGGAGATGGATTATTTGTTCTTTGTTGTCACAACAGGTCTTCAGCAGCAATGTGAAAGGATGGCCCACAGTCACATGGGGAGAAAATGGGGGAAGGTGGGGAGAGGCAGAGGAACAAGCATTTGTTAAGTACCTACACTATGCCAAGACTGTGCTAAGCACTTTACAGATATATTTCATTTGATCCTCACAACAACCTTGGGGTGCATTGTCTCCACTTTACAGTTAAGGAAACTGAGGCAGGCAGAAATTAATAAATATGCCCAAGGTCACACAGCTTGTAAATATCTGAGGACTGATCTGAACTCAGGTTTTCCTAACTTTGGGCCCAGCTTTCTCTTTCCCCTGTGCCACCTAGATGCTTAATACACACAGTCAATAAATGAGGAAGCACATATAGTTTAAAGAGGACTGGACTTTCAGGTAGAAAAGATTGCCATTTGAACTTCATTTCTGATACTTAATAGCTGTGTGACTCTGGGCAAGTCAATTCTCCTCTGAGTCTTCTTTTCCTCAAATATAAAATGAGGAAAAGATATTATAATACCCAGTGACACATGAGATAATATGTTAAAGAGCTATATAAACCTTAGAGTACCATATAAATGTCAGCTATCATTATTAGAATCAGAATTTGCACACAAGTTTTCTGAATTAAGTCTGGCACACTAGATCATAGGGGTCAGGTGGGTATAGAGGTTAATGTGCAGGTACTCTAATGGCAAATCACGCCAGTATCTTTGCCAAGAAAACTTCAAATGGGGTCACATGGGTCAGACACAAATGAAATGACTGAACAACAACAACGACAACCCTAAGTCTGGGTGAGGTAGTGAATTCCAGAGTCTGGATGCTTCAGCAAAGGTGAGCAATCATAGTTCTCTACAGAGAGCAAGTTGAGCGGCTTAATAAAGATTTACCGAGTGAGGTAAGGAAGAGCAAGTAGCTGCCAAGGGTCCTGGGTCAGGGTGGAATCTGATGAGGAATACATCCCAGGAACATATGATAGAAGACAAGAGTCTGAACCAAGAAACTGGTTAACAAAACAGGAGTGAACCTCACAGCAACCTTGCATAGTTCATAGTACAAGCAATGTGATCATCCATATTTTACAGATAAAGAAACCGAGGCTCAAAGAAACTTAGTGTTTTGTAACAGATCTCAGACCTGGGAAGAAGTGAAGTCAAAACTCAGACCCAGATCCTCTGACTTCTAACCCAGTTCCATTCCTGACTTGGTAGACTTTCTCCTTTTGTCTACCTTTTCTCACCTCCTCCTCCAACTGGTGAGTTCCTGACTAGCAACTCCATTTGAGGAAGTGATCAGACCAACCCTGCTCACTTTTAACCCAGTACCACTCCTGACTCTCCAGACTTTTATACCTTGATCTTGTATGACAATCTTCCCCCTTTTTATATGTTGTTTTTTCTCATTAGAATGTAAGCTCTTAGGGGCAGCTAGGTGGCACAGTGAATAGAGCACTGGCCCTGCAGTCAGGAAGACCTGTGTTTAAATCCGGCCTCAGACACATAACACTTAGTAGCTGTGTGACCCTGGGCAAGTCACTTAACCCTGATTGCCTCACCAAAAAAAAAAAAAATGTAAGCTCTTCAAAGACAGGAACTGTCTTTCTTTTTCTTTGTATAAGTATTTCCAGCACTTATCACAATGCCTAGCACATAATAAGTACTTAATAGATGCTAGAAAGCTAGCTATCAATCTATCACCATCTCTATCTCCAGGTTGAGTACTCTGTCCTCCATACCACAATGGAACTGTAAAAGCCACAAGTACAGGAACCATGTGTTATTATTTTCTCTTTTACTAGGGGATCTTAACCTTTTTTGTATCATGGACCTCTCTGGCGGTCCAGTGAAGCATCTGGACTCCATTGCAGCAGAATATTTTTAAATGCATAAAATAAAATACATAGGATTGCAAAAAAAATATTGAAATACAGTATTGGGGGAAAATGTTTTTTAAGTTCACAGGACAGTGCTGGGAATATGATAAATAAGTGCTCAATAAAAATGTGTCAATTGATTGATTCCATTATTAGTGGAAAGAGCATTAGACTGGAAAACTGGAGATGAGCTCTACTTCTGGCTTGCTGACTAACCTTGAGTGTATATAAAATAAAGGGATTAGACATACTGTCCCCTCTTCCTTCACAGAGGTTGGTGGGTGTGGGACACTCCATCCGTCAGATTTGGTTAATGTTTTAATTTGCTTTGTTGAACTTTTGTTGTTTTCTCTTTTTTATCCTTTATTATGAAGGATGTCTCAGGAGAAGGGGCAGGATGGTACAATGGGTAGAGGAGGAAAGGGGGAATATATTCAGAAATGAAACTAACAACAATGAAATAAAAACCAAAAGATCAATGAAAATTAAATATTTTTATATAAAATAAGTAAATGGTTTTTAAAAATGGCTCAAAATAATGAGCCTAAAATATGGAAATGGAACTATTTATAACTCTAAACATGTTTAAAATTCTTAATTTGGGATTAAAAACTCATTTTTTAATGAGTAGGTGATCTCTTAAGTCTTTTCAAATGTTAAGATTCTGTGATTCTAGCACTACCTTATTATTTAAGTCCCAAATAAATTCCCATTTTTATAGGAAACCTTTCCTCTTTTAATTCTAATGCCATCCCTCTCTTACTCACTTCCTATTCATCCTTTATAGATACCTTGTTTGTGGATGTTTGTTTGCAGGTCATCTCCCCCTCCCCCATTAGATGGGGAGCTCCTTGAGTGCAGGGCTTATCTTTTGCCTCTTTTTGTATCCCCAGTGCTTAGCACAGTAACTGGCACATAGTAGGCGTTTAATAAATGTTGATTGACTGATTATTCAAGTAATGTACAATATAGTGAACTACAGGAGATATTAATGTTACCAACATTATTGGGGTCAGAGCCAGTGTGGGCTAGGGATAAGTCACATTTTCGTTCTAATCATCTAATGTAGAGTGTGTCTCACATCTACTTTACCTGTCCTTGCCTGTATCTCCCTGCTGCAGTGTGGCTCAGTGGGAAGGTCCCTCACACTTGGGATGTATATTTCACCATGGTGATCGCTTATCAGCTGTGAATGACCTTAAACCACATACCCTGGAGGAAGTAGGCTTATTCCTGGACAGGTCCTTAAGGAAGGAGGTAAGCCCTATTAAAGGGACCTGAGTTGGGACAAGACAATAAGAGAAAAAAAAACCCTAAATTTATCACCTTACGCTTTTAAAAACTCATTCATATAGTCATAGATTTGGAAATGGAAGGGATCTAAGAGGTCACCTCTTTCATTTTACAGAGGACGCCAAAAGCCAGAGAGGTTAGATAATATGACTAACATCACACAGGACCTTGATAGTAAATTGAAGAGTCTAGATTTGAACTCAGGTCCTCTGATTCCACACTCAGTACTCTTTCAACTGACATTCATATCTAGTATCTCATTCTTCATAGAAACTTTGTGAAATATATAGGACAAGTCCTATAATTATCTCACTTGTATAAACAAGAAAATTGAGACCCAAGAAGGATAAATTCAAACTCATACTCCTAGTTAGTGGCAGAACTGTCCCTAATTGGCTCTCTTTTCACTACACCACAATGCTGTTGTCCGATGGTCATACTTAGGTCCTACATAGGTAGGGCCTGGGCACTAAGCAGTAGGTTACCACCAATGGATACTCTGAGATAACATGGCCAGGCTGCTGTTCAGGAACCTGAGCCAATCTGGGAACTGAGCCCAGGGAGAGACTGATACCAGTTTCTCAGTACAGTCGTCCTTCATGTATCAAGGTGATGACTATATTCCCTGGAAAATATCTGCAGCTCAGTATATCTCACTCCCTGTAACCCCAAGCCCCAAACCCCTAGGAGCTGGCGGCAGTTGTCATTGGCAGGGCCAGCGTTTGGCATAGTCAGAGTACACACTCGCCTACGTGGTGATTGGGAGTCCAGGAAGATCACTCACTCCTTCATCCCAATGCTTAAAATTCCAAAAACAGCAACTTATACCTTTTTATATAGCATTTCTCTGTTGATTATTCTATTTTAAAATGTATGTGCTCTGGAGGGAGTGTCTAAGACGTCCCACTTCCCATCTGATGTTAACCCAGAAAAGGACATTAGAGAGGCCAACTCCTTCAGATTGCAAAGGTGGACCATTTTTTTTAGTTTTGTTCATTTCATGGGTTGTCCTGCCCTGAAAGTTAGTCACATTCTAGCAATGAGCCTCTCTGTGCTTAGCTAGACTGGTTCTCTGACAACAGACAGATACATCTCTTAGACCCATTCTCAAATTCTTTTAAGTATTTTGGACCTGCCAAAGATTACACTTCATTGGCATAGCATTTGAGAGCCCAAGGTTACCTCTAGGCTATGAGGAGGTATCATATAAGATTTTATCAGAGGAATAATGTCAGCTCACAAGATGAATAGCATTTACATTTTATTTTTTTTTTAATTTTTAAGCAATTGGGGTTAAGGGACTTGCCCAGGGTCACACAGCTAGTAAGTGTCAAGTGTTTGGTCTGAGTCTGGATTTGAACTCAGGTCCGCCTGACTTCAGGGCCGGTGCTCTATCCACTGCACCACCTAGCTTCCCCTAGCATTTACATTTTACAAAGCGCTTTTCTCATAACTGTAGGTAGTACAGACATTTCCATCCCCATTTTTTAGAGGAAGAAACTGAGAGTCAGAATAGTTAAATAACTCATCTCAGGTAGCCTAAGGCAGAGCTGGGCCCTCAGATTCTGTCTTCTGACTCTTCATCTGGTGCTAATTCTACTGCACCACACTCCTACACTCTAAGCCTTAACCTGGATATATCAGCTCAGTTTTCTTTCCTGATGTGAGAGACAGAGCAGAAAGGCAACAGTTCTTGGCTGGCTGGGAAATGCCCAGAAAGGGGTGAAGAGGTGGGAGGAAGAGGAGGAAAAAAAAAAAGGAGGCATGTAGGGAGAAGAGAGAAGAAAGGGGGCCTGAGGAAAATGTTTGGTTGGAGCTGGACCTGCCTGCCAGGCTTATTGTGAGCCATATATTTTACTTTTCATGAAATCAACTCCACCTGGATATTGTGACACCTGCTCACCTAGCTCTGTCAGAAAGGCTCAGGCCACCAGAAGCCAATGTATTCCAGAAAAGAGGAAAGCCAACACCCTCCTGTCAATATGAATTTAAAGTGGTTCCTAGGCAGCAGTGATTAGAGGGGTTGGCCTGGAGTCAGGGAGTCTCATCTTCCTGACTTCAAATCTGGCCACAGACACTTACTAGCTGTGTGACCTTGGGCAAGTCACTTAACTCCATTTGCCTCAGTTTCCTCATCTGCAACATGAACAAAAGAAGGAAATGGCAAAACCACTCCATTACCTTTGCCAAGAAAATCCAAATGGGGTCATGAGGAGTCAGACGTGACTGAACAACAACAAAAGTAGTTCCTGCCAGCCCAGATAGTATAGGTGACCAAATAAGTGATGATAACTTCAGTTGATATGCTGAGGACTCATTATTCTGGGCAAAAATCTTTCAAGATTGTACATATACACACACACACACACACACACACACACACACACACATATCTATATACATACACACACATATATATAGAGAGAGAGAAGTATATAGAGAGAGAGGTGGGTGTGTGTATATATAGAGATGTATATGTGTATATGAATATCTACATGTATATGTATACCTATGTATTCATGTGCATGTATGCATGTATGTATATTATGTGCATATGCATTCATGTACGTGAATTATACATTTCTTTTCCTCTGTTTCATAAGGTGAAATTGACCATTTGCCGGATCCCTGATTCAGATAAATTCCACACTGTGGCCTGTGCCTGCTCTTGAAAAACACCATTTTGGTTAAGGTTGGATGGTAACCATTCCCACTACAGATATGCAGTGAAAGCTTATGAACAAAGAGTTATCAATATGAATTTCAAATGAGAATGAAGGAGGAGCACTGAATACTAACATATAAAAAGGATGCTTCAAGTCGCTACTAATAAGAGAAAATGCTACCTCACACCCAGCAAACTAGAAAAATGGTGGAAGATGGAAAGAGTCAATGTTGGATGGGTTGTGAATAAAATGGGCACAATCATACATTATTGGTAGAGCTGTTCACTGGTCCATTCTGGAAAGCATTTTAGAATTATGTGGAGTGATTAAAAATAGCTGCTAGACATAAACAGTAAGATAATCAAGAACAAAAAGAAAGTGCCTAGATATGCCTAAATTAATAGCAATATTTTTGTATGTGGTAGCAAAAAATTGGAAACAGTAGGTGCCCACTCATCAGAGAATGACTAAACAAATTTTTGTAAGTGAATGTGTGGAATATTATTAGGGTATAAGAAACAATTAATGCCATGAATACAAAGAAGCATGGAGAAATGTATAAGAATTGATTCAAAGTGAAGTAAGCAGAACCAAGAAACCATGTACACAGTGACTATAACATTGTAAATGGAAAGAGTAATAACAATGACAAAAAAATTGAAACAACACTCTCTAATTATAATAACACCTTGGCTCCTTTGCTGAGACAGAGGACCATACATATGGAACACTACATATAGAAGCAATTTTTTGGTTGGTTTTAATGAACTACTTTTCTTTAGCTTTAACAGAAATTCATTATTATAAGGGATGGTTCTGTGGGAGGGAGCAAAGGGAAAGATATAGTGGGAAATGTTGGGAATGCAAAAACCAAAGACATCAATAAATTTTTTTAAAAAGAAGCAAAGTAATACTACTTATGACTAAGATGGGTCTGGGTGGGCAAAAGTCTTAATAAGGATTCAAGCTTGTTGAAAGAACTTCTGTAATTTGACCCTAACAGAAAAGACCCAGAGGAAATGGGTTCATCTTCTACTCAGTTTTCACAAATTTCACAGTAGTGTCCCAAAAACCAAGAGAGGAGAAGATGGGGATTTGCAGTGTTCAAAGTTGCAGAGAGGTCAAGAATGAGGATTGAGAAAAGACCAATGGATTAAGAGCTGCATCCCGGGAGATGTTGAATGAGTCACTTAAGGTCTTTGGGTCACAGCTTCCACATCTTTGATATGGGAATAATAATTACTTCCCCTATAGGAACTAGATTGTAGAGCTCTGGGCTTGGAATCAATAAGACTCATTTTCATGAGTTCAAATCTGTCCTCAGACACTTATTAGCTGTGTCACCCTGGACAAGTCACTTAACCCTGTTTGCCTCAGTTTCCTCATCTGTAAAATGAGCTGGAGAAGGAAATGGCAAACCACTCCCATATTTCAGACAAGAAAACCCCAAATGGGGGTATGAAGAATCAAACACGACTGAAAACAACTAAGCAACAAAAACCAATAACAATAATAACATTTTTTCAATGTTTTAGTAATTTAATTTGGATTACATTTTGCATATACAGAAATACTTTGCAAAATTGTATTTTGTCCAATCTATATCACTATTTTTATGGCTTCATTGCATTTACCTGTTTTTCATTCAGCAAATATTTACTGAACCCGTAGTGAGTACAAAACACTATGCTAGGCCCTTTGAGGGCTACAAAGTAAATAGAACCCTGGATCTAGAATTAGAAGACCTGTATTCAAATGCCACCTCTGCCATTTGCTACCTGTGTGACCTGGAGCAAGTCACTTAACCTGTCTGGACCTCAGCTTCTTCATCTGTAAAATAAAAGAGTTTTAACAAGATAAACTCTAAGGATCCTAGGCTTAGTATTGGTGGGAACCTGGCAGGACATCTCATTTTACAAATGAGGAAACTGAGACCCAAAGAGGCTAGAGGATTTGCCCAAGGTCATACAGGTATCATAACTTGGATTTGAACCCAGGTCCCCAGGACCAACCTTTAAATCTCAGCTCTCCTACTTCCTAACCAATGCCCTTGGACAAGCCTCTTCAACTCTGTAGTCCTTTGTTTTCTTCATCTATAAAAAGGTGTTGACCAGTTGATCTCTAATGACAGCTCTAAATTCTGTGACTTTCATTTTTAGTGGGCATCTAGTTTGAAAGGTTTTTCCCAGTAAGAGAAAAAATCCAATCTAATGTGATTCCTTATTTTGTATTCTGTCAAGATAACCTTGTGTTGCCAGTTACCATGATGCTGTTCACTATGACCTATGGGAGAAAAATAAAAGGAAGGTAGCAGGGAGACAGATTGACCTGGACTAATTTATTATCTTAAGGGCCCAGGAAAAATATTTTATATGTCATAACAGTTTTAGGTCACATCCACCAAGAGTTATCCTGCTTAACAAGGACTGAGAAAAATACTTAGGATTTCTAATCTTTAGAGCCCTTTAAGAACATTAACTAATTCATTCTGTGAGGCAGAAAGAACCATATCCCATTTCACAGATAGGGAAACTGAGGCTAAATAGGTAATATAATCATATACTCAAAGAGCTGGACAAATCCATGGAGATCATCCACTCTAACTTTCTCATTTTAGTAATGATGAAATTGGGACCCAGAGAGGGGAAGAAGTCACACTGCTTGTGAGTTGTATGACCACTGGCAAGCCACATGGTCACCCAGTAGAGGTGGTGTAAAGTCATGGAAAGAACACAGATTTCAGGACAAGAGATCTGGGTTTGAAGCCTGGCTCAGCAATTTACTACCTCTGTGTCATCTCTGGGACTGCCTCAGTTTCTGCGTCTGTAAAGTGAATGTTGTTGTTGAGTTGTTTTGTTCATGTCTGACTTTTCATGACTCTATTTGCGGTTTCCTTGGCAATGATACTGGAGAGGTTTGCTCTTTCCTTCTCCAGCTCATTTTATAGATGAGGAAACTGAGGCAAATAGAATGACACAGGGTCATACAGCTAGTGAGTGTCTGAAGTTAGATTTGAACTCAAGTCTTCCTGATTCCAGGCTCGGTGCTCTATCCACTGTGCCACCAGAGGATGGCTGTAGGCCTTTCTGGCCCATCTCTATTCATCATAACTACTTCCACTGTGAAGAGAATCAAGGAACATTGGATATGACAAACATCAAATAACGTTACAAAATGAAACTTATCATAGTCTAACACACAGGGAACCACTGGTTGTCAATACGAGAACCATTTCTAAGTGAGTTGGCCCTGTAAAGTCAGACCACATGTTACAGCAGAGATAAAAATCAATGCCAAACTAGAAGAAAGAATGAAAATGAGAAGATATGAGTGTAAGTGGGGAAACTCCCAACTTATTTCCTAAATGATGATATGCAGTTAGGTGGACAACCTACAGAGCTGATCTAGCAGTACATGTGTCTAAGACAAAAACTGCACGTGTTCATGAGCTGGGCCCAGAATGGAACAGGAAGAGAGTGGGCAGGATTGCCTTTGGAAAAATGCACAGAGCTGTTAATTACTCTAAGCTTTTCCCTGAAACAGAAATTCATCTTTTTTTTTTTTAAACTCCAGTATTCTTCCAGTGATACTGCTGGGCTGCAAGTCGTGGAATCATTTATAGAATATCATGGAATGTTTCTAAAGAATCAAAGTTGAAGGCTCAGATTCTTAAAATCTAGCCAAATGCTCAGATTCTTAAAATTTAGCCACTAGCTCACCAACACTCAGATTCCTTAAAGAGTCTGGCCAATGTGGCAGATCTTTAATAAACCTTGTCTTTGGCCAAAAGGAGACTTGGGTTGAATTCACTTGAGTAGGACCTGTGTGTCATGATTTTGAGGTCCCAGCACCCCTAAACCTCTAGGCCTCAACATTTTGGTGGCCTGTATGGGGAAGCTGCCTGATTCTGAGTTCTTCTCTAGCCAAGACTGGGAGGCATGTAAACCTTCCCCCTTCTTTTTTGCCCTGCAGTTGGCGTTGTTCTCCAAGCACCTAGAAGGCTTGGAGGTGCTTTTCAGGCAGACAGCTACAAGGCTGTCTCACACCTGGCCTGATGCTCTCAGGCTCTTGGTGCAGTGGTTCAGTTTGAGACCATGGACCTGGTTACACCTTCCACAGCATAGAGGACAAGGACAGACACCTTATCTGGAAACGTATGCCCAATTCTGTCAGTTCTCTCAGTGCTAGGGAATTGGGAACACTGCAGGTGCTTTTTGGTTCCCCAAGGCTTACTCACTCCCTTCCCTCTACACCCCTGAATCCTCCTTCAAGGAGGCTACATGGAAAAGTTAGAACAGCTAAAAACATCTTAGTAGATTCTGGAGGTGGCCATTAAGCTGGGGTGAACAGAACACCAGGGACCTAGACCAATGTGACCAAGGAAGAATGGAGTCTAGATAGGATTAAGGGTGAGAAGTGGTTAGGGGCAATTGGGAAGTAACAGAATTGAATTGGGAGATTGGACATAGCCACAATGAAAGGCCAGTTGAGTGGATTACAGCCTCAGGTAAATGCCAGAGATTTGGGAAAAATCCAGGGATTTTCTTTTTTTGGGTCCAGATCCCAAAGATATAGTCTTTTCCTTTTAGAGGTTCAGAGCCTATCCCTATCATTCCCCCCTCAAACAAATGGGACCCAAATTCTTTTGGAGTAAGGGGTGAAGGTCTTGGCTTCTGAAACTGCTTCCTGCTGGCAAGGGGCATAAAGCTGCCCCTGCCTCGAGGGGGTCCCAAAGGGGAGGTTGACTGGAACTGAGCACAGGCTGCATCCAGGGTATGATGGGGGGACATTCGCTGGCACCCACTGTTTGCTACCAACTGTAGGTGATCAGTCCTTAAGGAGTTTTGAAACGCTTCCTTCCAACCCTGGTCACTCCCTTCTCCCACTCCCTTCCCTTGAGTCAAGAGGGTATCTGTTAATCCCTCTCATAGAAGAGAGTTGTCCCCTCCCCCCCACCTTTGAATTCACCCTCTCCCACCTGGTGAAAAGAAGGAGGGGGGAGGGGCAGCAGCTCCAGCATGGGCCCCCCCTGGCCATGGCCTTGTGCCCTGGGGCACCCTTGGCCTGAGAGCATCACCCAGGTTCAGCACAGCCTGCTCGAGATAAAGAAGCTAGCCTCTGAACTTGGGTAAAAACGCTCTTTTAAACTTGTAGTTTTAACTGTTTATGATGAGATGTTGATTCTCTGCGTAAAGTAATTTAGAAAATGCATTCAACAAAATTGCAGTCACCTGATTGGTAATGGGTTCTTTTCAAGTTTCAAACTGGTGAACTTTTAGTATCAGTTATGTCAAGTGACGTTTTATAATTTGATTATTGCTAAAATAATTTGGCTATTGTTGGTTATTGTTCTAATGTGTAAACTTGCCAAAAAGCTTGAGTTTTGGCTTGCTGAGAATTTGCAAGTATATGGAAATAATCTCTAACAACTGGCTTTTTGTATCAGGACACATTTTTGGGGGGTTTTTTTGTTTGTTTGTTTATTTGTTTTGGTTTGGTTTTTTGGCTAGGCAATGGGGTTAAGTGACTTGCCCAGGGTCACACAGCTAGTAAGTGTTATGTGTCTGAGGCTGGATTTGAACTCAGGTCCTTCTGAATTCAGGGCCAGTGCTCTATTCAGTGTGCCTCCTAGCTGCCCATATATCAGAACAAATTTAAATTTGAGATGTAAATCCTGGAAAAGTTTTTCCTAAGTTGTGATTAGTGAAACTTGCTGTTTGAGGTAAAAGCTCATGGGATTTTATTTTGAGTTGTCTAATGAATCATAATGATCCCTCAATAATCAATAATCCACCATCTGAGAGAAATGCCACAAGCTACTCCGAGAGAATGTGATATGCTGGTGGGAAGTCAGCATCAGGAAAATCTGAGAGGACAATTTTAGCCTCAGTCTAAGAGG